ACAGCCATTCCTGCTGCTCCTTGAGGAGCGGCAGTACATGTGAAGGAACTGGCCCTCCCACTTGGCATGTAGCGCCAGGGTCAATGTTGTAGACACTGAAGATGTTGTTTGCAACACCAGAGATCTGTAAATTCATTCATATTCATATTTAATTTGTGTGATGTGAGTTCGGGTCATGTTACAATGCTTAGTAAGCTTAGTAATGCTTAAAGCATTGCTTACTGCGCCATGGAAGTATCCCAGTTTGGGGCTCGCCACCAGCACAATGCAGCCAATCGGAATCTGGAGCGACGGTCCAGGACTGGACTTTCCCCTCGAAAGCTCAGCGGAGAAACGAACCCCTCACTGGTCATATAGTTGTCCCACTCTAGCAACCAATTGCAGCAATATCTCCCCACCTTGCTTGCGAGTGTGCGTGTGTGTGGGTGGGTGTAGGTGTGTCTGTGAGTGCAATGAAAAGTGCCAACCAACGACAGAGTGTAAGAGGGAGAGCGAGAGCTAGTCGCACTCTCTCTATGCAGTGGGAGAGCATTGTTGGATTTTGTTGGTCGTACACCTGCTGCCGGCTGCTGGTCGCCTGCTGGGCCGTCTAGGGTAAGTTCCTAGAATGTTCATTCCAATAAGCCACCACCACGGCCGGTTGCAACATCTCGCGCAAACTGATCCAATTGATGGCAGGCAAAATTCGTAGAATTCACCCGATGGCAGCAGGCGCCCAGCGCCACCAGCAGGCCGCTCCCAACCGGGACCAACATGTTGCGGCCACATTGGCGAGGGCGACATTGGAATCGCGTCATGCGCGTCGCTAATTCAGCAGGCAAACAGAGACAAACAGCGGCGGCAACACATATGTAGCATCAGAGCAGCAGAGCACTAGAGCTGAGGGGAAATACAATTACCAGTGCAGTGGGAGGTGGGAGGCGGCTGAAAGCCCGGACACGGCCAGGATGGCGTTGGCGATGGAGGAGAGATGAAGATGTGTAGACGGCCCCCCCCAATCACATATGGCCGTCGCCGCACGGCACCGGCAACCGGCAGGCAGGCAACACATACGGACCGACGACCCAATGCCAAGGCGCCCGCGCAACAACATCTCGGAAGCGGTAGCAACAACCATAGAGCAAAAGCTGGAGCACGCCGGTACGGAATGCCGACGGCTTCGACACTTTCGTTTTCTTGTTCCAACCAAGCGCTGGCCGCTAAATAGGCGCCCAGCATGCCGCAGAGCGTTGCCAAGAGACCGAAACCAGCGCCAACAGTTGTCAGACAGGGTGAGACAGGTGAGCCCAGAGCACATGCGATATGGTTGTCCCGCTTGCACGCAAGCACCTTCTCTCATCTCAGCACATGCTGAGCATGTGCATATGTATGGCACACGCAAACGCCGCTGCTCTCTCGCGCTTTTGCTCTCTTTGGAGCTTTTCGCAACATGTTGACTGGCAACTTTTGAGGGAGTTTTGAGTTGCCGCTGGGGCAGAGAGTTGAGTTTCTCTTTCTAACGTTGGCCGCTGGCTCTGGGGCGCTGGGCTCCTGTTCGAAAATCGACTGACTGGGCCCCTGAATTCGTCGGGCAATACGAAAACCGTGTCTCGGCGCGCCGATTGCATCCGTCGGCAGTCAGCGGCAGGGGAAACCAAAGTGGCAGCAGTGATACTGCTGCGTCCAGTGGCAGGGGAAACAGCAGTCGAAGCGGTATAGCGGGGCAGCAGGGGAAACCGACCGACTCATGGGGAAGCGACGATGCAGAGGAAAAGCTCATTAAAAAAAAGTTCCTTTTAATTAATTGAAAACCAGCAGAAGAACAACGACACGGCTCCACTTGTGCCCAAGCCCCACCCCCCACACACCCCACACCGCACACCGCACACACACCATCCATCCCTCATTGCGGCTTTTCCGCCCAGCCAATTAGTGAAAAATGCCCAACCCCCGCCCGCGAGCCCCGCACCAGCCCACTGACCACAAAAGGCGCCTTCTTCATTAGCTGGCGCACATTTCGACCTACGCTTTTTGCAGCGCATCTTCTTCTATCCTATTACGCTAACATCTTCTTAATTAAAAAGCTGGCAACAGCACGTTCCAGGCCATCCCCCTGCGTGTGCCGGATGGCCGCTGGCGGATTTTTAATTGCTTAATTGGAACTGCGTGAAATCCCCTGCTCTGAACGAAGCGAAAATCGGTGGCAGGGGCATGTGCAGGGGCAGTGGCAGAGTCGTCCTTCCGACACAAAGAGGGGCCCTGCCGAAGCCGCCTGTTGCCTGTTGCTGGGCAATTAATTCACCACGAGAGGAGCACGAAGTATGAGCCGAAGCCATCATCAGCATCCTGGCAGTGGCAGTGGCTGTGGCTGACTGTGCTGTCAAGGTCGTGTCCCCAGGACCTGCTGACTGGCTGAGCAACCACCACGCCCTAGATACGCCTCAAACTCAGCAGATGGAACAGGCGCCCAGTAAGCATTAGAATGGCCCGTTCAAACATGGGGCAGGACACACGACACGACACGATACGAAGCAGGATGCGGCCAGAGATGCTGCGCATCATGCAACCGCCAAATGCCAGATGCCCCACATTGCGGAAGATGATGCAAGGCTGGGGTAAAGTGTGGTAAATTTAAAGCCCTCGTACCCCTGAGGCTGAGCAAAAGCTCACTGAGCAACAGACCCACAACCAAAACCACATCCCAACCCACCCAATGAATGATTCTAATGACATTTTTGGTTTCAATTGTTCATAAGTTTTATTATTTGATGAACGCTCTCAATCAAGCGATTCATAAATTGTGGGGCGTGTACGTACGTCTGATGGAATGGATGAACGGACAGACAGCGCAGCGCAGCGGGTGTTAAATCGGTTGCCTCCTGCACGCCACGCCACGCCACGCCACACACACAGCTCGTTTCCTAGTCCATCCATACCCGTAATTTACATACGTACGTACACATATATATAGTATATAGTTATCGTATTTCATATATTAATTTGTATTGTATAATTGTTTCCGCTTCTTTTTTGGTTAGTCATAAGTATAGTTCCATATAATATGGTATCATATATGTATGTATATAGCATATAGTAAAGTATATGTATGTATAATGCATGTGTATATGTGTATATAAATTTAGTTAACATTAATTCACCAAATACTCGATACAATAAAATGTCTCTACCTCTTCCCAGCACTCGATCCGATCCCGATCCCGATCCGATCTTATCCCGATACGATCCTACACATATTCAAGTTTCAAGCGATCTTTTTTATGCTCATTCTCGTTAGTATTTCGGTTATCATCGATACACAGTTTTCTGCTACTATATACTACTACTCGTATGTATATGTATGTAAAAATTCAGTTGCCACAATTTGTATGTAATTGAAACGAGTGTTGTTGATTGGCTGATTGATCGATTTAGGAGTAGGATGGGGGGAGGGCGGTTTTGTCGGGTGGCCGTAGGGCTTGCAGGGTGCATGGGATTGACAATTAGTCTTTGGCACATTTCAATCGATAACGCTGATATGTAAGGGGAGGGGATACACGCTTTGTGCTTTCACTTTTGGCTGAGGGGAGGCGGAGCAGAATAGAGGGAAAAGGAAAGTCGTTTTCTGGATACTGTATACTGCGCACTTCATAGCTTCTTTCTCGATTCAAACATAAGCATAAGCGATATTTCAAGGCAAGAAGGGACACACTGTAATCGTATTTCGTATTGCATTCTAGGCTCAAGGACTCGCTTCGATGAACTTCTAATTAACTTGGAATCATTTTCTTGCATTCTACATATTTGTGTATAATATGTTTAACTGATTGCTATGCCTATATATTGTATATATGTATGTATGTATGCCCATTTTTGTCTGAGGGAGGGGGTTACCATATGCCTTGAGAGTTCTCAGGCCATTTCTATGCATTTCTTTTCTCTAGTGATTTTTTAGCCACACACATTTCTCAAGTCATGATGTATAACCCTACCATTTATATACATACATATACTATATGTATATGTGTATGCATGTGCATTGGTAATTCGTAATCACATTCGCTAAATCGCTAACAACAATTCGAGTCGAGTCTTGGCTATGTCTAAGTCTATGGTAAAACATTTTTCGTTTGGCTAAAAACATTATCCGATTCTGCTTCTGCGTCTGATTCTGGCTATTCGATTCTGATTCTGATTATGCTCTCTACATCTCTTCTATCGCTCTCTATCGCAAGCCTTGGCTTTCAATGGAATCTAATTTGATTTTGTTTCGATTAGATTTTTTTAATTCAATATTCAATATGCAATTCAATTCAACAAACAATGCGCTAAGGTTTTAACGTTTCGCTAATTATTCAAATATGTATGCTTTTTTTTGTTGTTGTATATAGTATCTGTCATCAATTTGTTTTCGATTTCATTTCATCTAAACGTTTTTTGTCGTACTTTGATAAATTTTTAATATAATAAGGCCGCGTGGGGCAACTGCTATGAAAGGCTAAAATATCTACCAACAGATATAAATAGTATTATGGGTATATAGATCCTAGGGGCCAGGAGAAAGGAGAGACGGTATAGACTTTTACTTAATTGAAGTTAACCTCTTTTCCTCTTTTCCTTTCTATGGTTTTGTATTGTAACTTTTTTTTGGTATAGGCATTATCTGGTTTTGCTCTTTCGTCATTTCATTCTGTTCCTTCTTTCTACATATTCTATATGGGGGACTTGGCTCATAGTTAAATTCAGTTAAAACTCACTTCTGGTTCAGTTTCTGTTCACTCAAATACTCGTATATAGGGTATATGTATGTAGTTGAAGGGTATATTATGTGTTTACATTGAGGAATGTATGTATGTATGCATGTGTGTGTGTGTGTTGTTTTGTTGATTGCCTGCTAGTCAGGGTCTAGATTAGTAGTACCTTAGTAGAGGGCCCCTGGCCGGGGGCATTAAGTTACAAATTAAGTTAGAATAAATACAAAAAGATATACAAAAAAATTTTACGTAAATAAAATCGCATAACAACTTAGGATTACGAGGGCACAGCAATCGAGTGTATAAACAATGTATGTACAGCTTAAACGGAGAAGGTATATAGCGAGGGACAAAGACAGACTAAAACAGATGAAAACAATAAGAAACAATAAATACATAAATAAATAAATGGGATGCAGGCGAAGTGATGCAGGTGAGTGGGGAAAATCAAACGAAAAAAATAACCAAAATCAAAATGGAAAAGACAGAAACAGAACAGACAAACAAAAAGAAAAACAAAAAACAAAAATAAAAATTAGATGCACTTCAACGGTAGCGTGTGATGTTGCTTTTGGGGTGGGTCTTACTTCGCTGCCTCGCCGGAAAAGGATATGGCGGCGGCGGCGGCCGTGCCCGACACAGAGGAGCCTGGTGTGGCCGAAAGTGCCATCTTGGAGAGCGTGGCCAAGGAACGTTTCGGGAATGTATTATTGCCGTCCGACGGATCCGAGAACAGTTTGCGGAAGCTACAACAAAGAGAGTACAATCGTTAGTAAATATTCCAATATTCCATGTTGATCATACAATTTGCGTATGCCCGACTCGGAGCTCTTCTTCCAGGGCGCATCGTCCGGCTCGTACGGCAGCGGTCCCTGCACGGGTGCATCGTGACCAGGCGGCCTAAGCAACAGAACAAGTTTCAAGAATGATACAACAATTTTATATAAGTCCTTCTTCCGCTATCACTCACGTCTCCCCAGCGACTGGGGGCTCAAGTTCGGCTGCCGCTTCAGCCGCCTCCTCATCGTCGTCGTCATCATCGTCGTTGTCCGCCAAATGACCCTCGTCATCGTCACTGTCATCCGAGCTGGAGATATGCCGCGACCGCTTGGTCTTCAACTTACTGGGGGGCTTCAGCTCGGCCAGCTGCTCGTTGAGGCCATCGATGGTGGTCAGCAGCTCGTCCCGCTCGCTGATCAGCTCCTTGAGCTCACGCGTGGTATAGCGCGGCCGATTGGGATCGTTCTGATCGTCATCGTACGACTGCACCAGATCCTCGTTCTCCTTCTCGGCCAGGCCGAGACGCTTGCGAAGCTGATTGATCTCCCGGCACTGATCCTGCAGTTGAGCCAGGAAATCGGCTCGCTCCTCGCACAGCGTCTTCACCTGGGCCTGCATCAACTTGTGGCGCCTCCTCGTGTCCCGCTCCGAACCCTTCAGACGCTCCGACTGGATGTTAAGCTAACCAAAAGTAACCGAGAATGAGGGTTAGTTAGTTATAATTTGAATTGGGTCTGGAGGCACTCACATGCTCCAGCTCGCTGTACTTGTCCTGGAGCTCCCGCTCGCGTTGCTTCAGCTCGTCCCGCTGCTTGTATATCTGCTCCTTGAGCCGCTGCAGCACCTGGGTGTCGGACAGGGCGCTGTGCAGCTCATTGTTGGTCATGCTGATGATGCTCTCGGTGAGGCTGGCGCCCAGGCCGGAGCTCTGGGCGGACGATGACTGCAGGTCCTGAGTCTGCTTCACCAGCCGCTTGTTCTCGTCCTGCAGCGAGGAGACCAGGTCAACCAGCTCATTGGTCTCGCTGCGCCACTGCTCCTCGATGAGCTCCAACTCCTTCTCAAAGCGGCGCCGGAACTCGGCCTTCTCCAGCTTCTCGCTCTCCAGCTGGGTGATCTTTTCCCGCAGATCCTGTATGGTGGCGTTCTCGCGCTCGTTCTTCGTGGCCAGCGCCTCCAGCAGCTCCAGCGTATTGATGATCTTTGGCATCAGCCCACTCACCGCGTCCGTTCCCGAGGCGATCCATGATCCGCTCGTACTCCTTGCCAATATCCGAGGCCAGGTCGTACACATCGACCACGCCGATGTCGTCAATGGCATCCAAGACCATTTCGCCCATTTCATTGAGATGGAATCCGGGCATGGAGCAAGGCACGGGCCAGCAGCAGCAGTACGGATGGTCCGGTTCGCTTCTCTATTGTCTGCCAAACAGTTGGGGCCAGTTTTCAGGTTCCAGGTCCCACCAGGTGCCCAGATGGTTGGTTTTCCAGGTGCCAGGTGTGCCAGGTGTGCCAGGTGCGACAGTTTCAAGGAGAAAACTCCGTCGTGCAGGGAGGGGGGACAATGTGTAATCAGCCACTTCGTTTCGCACACACAATGACACACACACAACACACTCTGTGTGCGCAGAGGGGCTGTGAGGAGGTACACGGGTATAATGTTCACATTCACTTCAGCTCTTGCTGCTGCTGCTGCTTCCCGTTTGCCGTTTCCCACACATAAACAGATTGCTCTTTTTGCAATTTATTCGCATCGGCTGGCTCCGATGACTGCATCAGTGTATACCCAAATATACCATCTCATTTTCAAAATATACCGTAAATATACCGACAAAAATCATATTACTCAATTTTGATATTCGATTTAATATTAAAAGTTAATTATGACTTTTCCCACTGAACTTTAAATTTTCTCCGATCTATAAATCAATTTTCTACAAGATTGGTTGAATTAAAGGACTTCCTTTTATTGGCTTACCTATAAAAAAAGTTTAAAACAAAAAAGTTACGAAAAGATGGCAAAATATACCGTAAAAATACCGAGGAAACTAATCGAAATTAACCCACTTAGCCCCACAGTATTTAAACAGTAAACACATAAAGTTAAAACGCTGAAAATAATATTGTTTGAAAATTCTTCCTGTGAATCGATTCTTTTATCTTTTCTAACAATACAAAAGTGAGCATGATATCTTTTACCTGTAATGTACCTGTAATGTTTAATTTTGATCAAAATTAAATACCCCCCTGGTCGACAATTGGCTAATCGTACTGTGTTGATGATCGGAAATTCGATTTAATATTACTAGCTGGCTAGCAATCTCAGCATTGAATATATGGGCGCCAAACTAGGATTCATTCAAAACAAGTACTGCTAGGCCACAAAGTAAATTCATTGTTTTATTCATAAATTTGTTTACAAAAGTTGTATAAAGATTTCATTCTGTTTTGATTTTTTTTTTTTGGGTGTGTGTGAGGGGTGGTATGCAGTTTACTTTGTATTTTACACGTACAATTAGCAATAACTAAATCATTTTGTATGCTAAACTTAAATACAGTTAAGCAGCGACGACTAGCAAGTTTCCCTCTCTTTCTCTCTCTCTCTATTATCTTTCTGTACAGACTAAACGCGAACTTGGTTTCTTTGGGTTGTCGTCGGGGTGGGGGGTTCTTTAAGTACAATACATTAAATTAGCTATAATTCTTTGGATGGTTGCGGGAACTGCATGACTGGGAGAGCAGGAACTGGGGAGCGTTTGGTTGATGCTGTTTGTTTTTTTGTTTGTTTGTAAAAATAATACACATAATACAACAATTTCGTGTGGTTTTATGTTTTGTTTTGTTTTCTTTTGTGTGTGTGTGTTTGTGTGTATTTTGCTTTCGCACTTTCGTTTTCGTTTAAGGACTAGATTAGGAACCACATTTGTACAGTTTTCATATTTTTGTTTTCGCTCTCTCTCTCTCTCTTCCACCTTCAACATATCCTCTGTATCCTTATTCTCATTCTAATTAAGTATGTTTCAGCTTTAGCTTTTGGTTTGTTTTTTTTGTTTTGTTTTTTGTTAGTTTTAAGTTTTAGTTTTTAGTTCAAATGTACAAAGACAAAGTGTTCGCACCTCTTCTCACGCTCTCATTCTCTTTTTGGTTGCAGCTCTCTCTCTCTCAAAAAACTTAACATAAATAAATTACCCACTTTTTTCTTAGGGGTATAAACAAATAAAAAAAAAAACATTTAAGCATAGGTGTTTTTTTTTTGTTGTTGTTGTTTTTGTGTAAAATAAATAGCGAGTTGCGAGTGGGGGTTTGGGTGTTTGGGTTTTGGTTTTGGTTTTGACTTAGGCGTACAAACATCATTGTTTTTTGGCAAGCATTCTCGATGGCAAAGTTCAAAGGGGTTTAAGTTAAATTCTGATCTCTCTTTTTGGCACACAAACTAGGCATAAATAAATAATAAAAATAATAGTATGTAATAATAATAATAATAATAATAATAATAATATGTAGTAGTACTCATTCATGTATAGCAATGGTGGCGGTAGTAAAATTATTATAAAATATTAAGTTAATGTGTAGCTGGTGGTGCGGGGGCAGCGCATTTTGCATTTTGTTGCAGGTGCGTTACGACTGGGTTAATACGTACAATACTAACTAGTAAGAAATACTAGACCAGCTCTCTAGCTCTAGCTTTAGCTTTAGCTTTAGCTACAGCTGTTGCTCCTTCTCCATCTGTGACCGGCCGCTTTGCTGCTGCTGCAGCAGCTTGGAGTTGGCTTTCAGGCGCTTCGAGCGCTTGGCGGCTGGTTGGGGGGCGGGCGTTGGGGATGGGGACTGTGAGGGGCATGACGGTGATAGGCCACCCACCACGCCCACATCCCTGGCCAAGGCATCCTGTGAGTAGTAATCATATTCATCCGGCAGATCCGGCAGATCTGTGATGGCGATCTTTGCTGGCAACAGCAGCTGCACACGCAGCTCCACCTCCTCCTCCTGATCCTCCAACTGCCCATCAGCATCCTCGTCATCCACATCATCATCATCCTCATCCTCATCATTGATGTCGACAATTGAGATTATGTCGCTGCTCTCGCCTCTGCTGTCCAGGCCATCGACAATATAGAAATCATCATCCTCCACCTCATCCTCATCTGATGAGCTTCCAATTCCAATCACGATCCCGATACCGTCTCTGTCTGCGCATGCGCCTCCGCCTCCGTCCCCATCATCGCCATCGTCCTCTTCGGACTAGCTGCTACTCGTCTGCGTCTGCAGGACACCAGCCGATGATGAGGAGGAGGCGGAGGAGGTGACACCGGCCACATGGCCCAAGGCAGCGCTGCCCGGAAAGTGGCAGAGGCACGCCGGATTGGGAAAGTGTCCCGGCTGGGCGCCCAGCTTCTTGGTCAGCGTCTGCCAGTAGTCGATCTGGGCATTGAGCAGGTCGATCTTTCGCTTCCGCTCCTCGATGGCCAGCGACATCATGAACTCCTGATGCTGCGTCCGCGGACCTGAGCCGTTCCCGCTGCCACCGTTCGAGCTGGACATGAGCATGCCGCCGCCGCCGCTGCTGTTGGCGCTGCTGCTGCTGCTGTTCAGGCAGGGCACGCTGACGGCCAGGCCGTTGTAGCCGTTGAAGCTGCCAGCGGCGCCTATTGCCACGCCCTGCGTCGCCTTATCACGCCCGTGCTGATTATGATGGCCGTTGAGCAGCAGCTGTACCCCATTCGCCGTTCCGCTGCCGAGGCTGGTGCTGTGGCTGTGGCTGTGGCTGTTGTTGTTGTTGATGTTGGCATTGTTGTTCCCCCGCTGGAGACGTGGCAGCTGGAGAGTGGGTGGTGTGCGCCGATTGCCGCCAAAGGCAGCGCCGCCAATGGTGCCCGATGCGGACACCGAAGCGGTGGCAGCATTGATGGCCGCCTGCAGCGTCTGCGGCGGCGGATTAACGGCGGACAGGCCGAGACCATTGAGGAGCATATGCTGCTGCACCTGCTCCGCCGTAAGGTGATGCACTCCGGCGCTGTTGGAGCTGCTGTTGCCGGTTCCGTTGCCATTGCTGGCATTGGTCGCTGCTCCGGATCCGTTTTGCAGGGTCTTGTTAATGTTGGCAAAGGAGCCGACGCGTATGTGGCCCACCGTCTGGATGGTGATGTCCGGCTTGGGCGTCGACGACACATAGCTGCCGCTGGAGGAGACGGAGGTCTTGGTGGAGCACACGGGTGAGCTGGCGGCTCGCGGCACTGCGTCCGAGAGGCCGTTCAGTGGCCCATTGAGGCTGGCCAGGCCGCCGGGCAGGGAGATGGACGAGGAGGAGCAGACACCAGTGCCGCTGCCCACACCGCCAACTGTCGAGCCCGCTGAGCCCTGCTGCAGCTGGCGGAGATCTGTGGCGAAGAGGACATCGTCCTCCTCCTCGAGGCACACCTCGGGCGCCTTGGGACTCGGACAGTCATCGTCGTCGTCATCGTCCAGGCAGTCCATGCCATTCTCCGTCTGTTCGTTGTCGCTGATGGTCTCAGATTTGATCAGGATGACGTCCGTGTCCATGCCCTCGTACAGCGGCATCTGTTGGAGCATCAGTTGGTCAGTGGCCTGTCTGAGATGGGTGCGGAGATCGCTCCCCAGATGCAAACCTACCTTCGAGTCCTCATAGTCGTCCTGATGGTGGCCATTGGCCCCCCCGCCGCTCTGGTTGCCCCCATCCGGGGACATCTGCTCGGCTATGTACTGCGCCACCGAGTCCTGCTGCGACAGTGTGTTGAGCAGATCGAGAAATGTGCCATTCGTCTTGTCCTCGCCGCACAAATCCTTCTTCAGCAGCAGCTTCATGTTCTTGTAGAGCTGGCGCAGCTGCTTGGCACTGCGCTGATGGTACACCTGGGAGTTGAACTCCTTGGCGATCTGCAGCCAGACCTCATCCTTCTTCCGGTTCGACTCCGCGTCCGTGCGCTTGTTCTCGATCACGTCCTTGTACTGCGCCGCGTAGCCGAGCACCATATTCCGCTCCCGCTGCGTGTACCGGGGAGTCTTTTCCATTTTCAGCCGTTTGCAAGACGTCTTGAAGCTGCAGGAAGTGCGAAAAAATATATAAATTAAAATAATGTCTAACTTTTGGTGGCCTAGGCTTAGGCTTAGGGTTTGTGTTCGTTTCGTTTCAGCCTCCAGTGGCCCTTTGCTTACTGACACAGGACTCTAGTGGCACTTTTCTATATCTTTAATGATATATCGGATTGCATATCGGATCTTAAAGAAGTTTTTGTCATAGCTGTACTCTTTGTCAGTAATTAAACCCCATTCTACTGCGTAACTTATGGCCGATCATTTCATTTTTAAATATGTATTGGCTGTATCCACAAACTATTAGTATCATATCCTATCCTATTGGTATCATAAGTTAATGCGTCTGAGAAAAATTCAAACAAAACGTTTGACGAAAGGAAACGCTCGAACGAAAGGGCTGCCACTTCCAAGCTGCCTGGCTGTATATCGATAGGACCTGGCCCATCGCTGCCGCTCTTCTGTGTTCGGTTCGTTCTCGCTGGCTCGAGTGACTCTTCTGACGCGCGCAATCTAAGTCGCAGAGATACAACATACAATATCTTGCGGATCGCGCAGCGCACAAGCTTCGTTGCTATCACCTATATATGTATATACCTAGCCTAGCCGAGAACGGCGCCGTTCTTTAATTAATAAAATAAAGTACGGGGGACAAACAAGCAATTGGAAAAAACAGTTCTCAACTCTTCCACACAGACGACGCATACTTACACACACACACACCACACGAGCGCTGATAAGCTGGCGACGCAGCTAACGGTGAAGCCGAAAGCTTCGTTTGTGTAAGCGCGCGCCCCCTTCTCGACACTCGATAAATGTGCGTGTGACGCGGTAATTTTCGGCGAAAAGTAAAGGACAGGGCAGGACAGGACAGGACTCCCCTTGGTCATATATTGATTGTGTTAGCCCCCTGATCCTGAAGCTCGACTGAGCTTAAAGCATAGACAGAAGCTTAGAGTAACGCGGGGAGGGATAGAGGTGCAGCAGTGTGACAGCAATGCAGGGGCCCCAAAACCCACAAGAAAAGACAACATGCTGGCCTGCATTGGCCTGGCACTGGGCACTGACTGCTGGCTGATATCTAATCTTAAATTGGAGATTAGCGTGAAGCTCTCTCGCACTCACAACAACAACAACAACAACAACAACAGCAACCACAACAAGACAGTGAGAATAGGTGGGGTGGGCAGGGGAGGTGTTTTACTCACGTTTTGAGGCCGCGCCAAAGCCGGCAAACGGACGACACGACGAGCAAACTGTGTGTGGGTGATGCCGATGGTCTTTCTGTGTGTGTGTGTGTGTGTGGGGGGGGTTTTGTGGGTGGACTACGAGACGACTGTCAAAAAAAAAAAAAACGAACGAAGCGAAGCGAACACGAACACTCAGTACGCAGCAACTTCGCGGGCGGCGGCGACGAAGCACAAAGCTCGACTGAATTCGTATTTCGAGCAAATGGCTGGGACGCTCAGAAGTACCGTTGGAGTGCAGCAACAGCAACAACAACAAGAGCAGCAGCAACAGCAACAGTGACAGTGACAGCGGCTGCGGCGGACGGTTGGCGGCGGCGTCGACGAATGGGCAAACAAAAATAGGAATACCGCGCAGGCCCGCAAGCAGCAGCAGCAGCAGCACCACATAGAGCAGAAGGAAGGAGTGTGTCGTCGTGAAGGGGGGAGGGCGACGAGGGCCACACACAGCTGGGGCCCTGAATGGGGTTCGTCTGTTTGTACACTCGCACACACACACACACACAGACACAATGTATAAATGTAATTAAAGCTTGAAACCGAGTTTACAATAACAACCCCGCCGCCGCCTCCGTAGCAGCAGCACCACCAGCAGCAGCAAAGCGCGCGAGAGGAATCAGCGTGAAACTTGAAGAAGGAGAAACAGAGCGAGCAAGAGAGAGGAGAGAGAGGCCGAGCCAGGAGTAAGTAAAGCGGGAGAGGGAGGCGCAACAATGAGCGCAGTTTATAAATAAATGCAAAGACAGCCATCCCACACACACACACACACACACACACACATGAGACTCGGCTCAAATGTAGCTGTAGTTTGTTTTTAAGCTGCAACAAAGTAAGGGTTGAGACGAAGACAGTGACGGAGACGGGCGACGGGCGACGAAGTGGCGCGCAGAATGAGAGACGACGACGTGTGAGCGCGCGAATGCAGAGTTGCATTTTGTTGATAAAGCTGGGACGGTACGGACACGAGGCCATACATAATGGATGTGGCGGCGCAGACTTAACCCGAATAACAGAGCGGGGTTAAGTGCGAGCGCAGGGGGTGGCAGGGGGGTGTCCTGCCTGTGATCCTCCACAAATAAATGTGGGATGAGTGGGCTTTCTGCTTGGTTTAACGCTTTCTGCGTCAATGCGACGCGCCATGACACTGTCGGGAGTCAAGTTTTAAGATAAGATTCGACTAGCTACATATGTGGGTGTGTTGATGGGGTGGAAAGGGGGGATAGGGGTTTTGGGGTTGCGGTTATCTATGAAATCCGACTGGCAATGAGCCGCACTGGCCGCAGCCAGCAGCACGTCGCGACAGCGGCTTTCCGCTGAGCAAGGGCAAACAAAAGCAAAGTTTACTTTTTGGGGACTCTGCCGATTACCACCTTTACTCTCTCTCTCTCTCTCACTCACTTGCTGTGTGGTATAACAAGCGTTGCTTAATGCAGAGCAAAGTGATACCTCACCTCAACTTATCTACACACACACACACACACACACACACACAGACAGAGAGAGAGAGAGCGAGAGCGAGAGTGTAACTGTAACTGTACACAACAGGTGGAAGTATTTACTGATAAGCCGCTGATAAAAAGCAAGTCCCAAGCGTGTGGTCTGGTTGAGGGGGGTTGGGGGGGTAGTGGGGCTATAAAGGGTAGAGCCCTGGGAATGGGAATCGAAATGGGAGTGAAGCTTCCATCCAAACGGCTTCGCCCTGCTCCCTACCTCCCCCCCACAACCCGTTAGCAGCAGCAGAGAGTTTCAAGTTCTAATTGGCTTTGTTTGCTCTCTGATAAGGTGGCTCGGTGTCTCTCTCTCTCTCTCTCTCTCTCTCCCCCCCCTTTAGATATCCACCAAGTCCGCGATAAAGTTCGGCCCCAAAACAGAACCAAAAACCAAAACCAAAACGCACCTGCGTCCCATGAGCGGCGGCAGCGGCAATGGCAACGGAGGCAGCACCTTCCTCGGCCTACCAGCACCCGTCCTGATCTTGTAGCTGCCGCGACCGCGACCGCTGCTGCTGCTGCCTCTGCCGCTGCCTCTGCCTCTTTTGCTGCTCTTCTTCACGGGATGGGGGGTAATCAGACGCGGTGGCTGCCTCGAGGAGCGCCTGTGACCGCGCACGGGGGGCATTTTCCCAGCAAAAAAAAAAAACAAAACAAAAACTTTCGAGGCGGCCGATCCGCTGCGTTTGAGTTGAGAATTTTTACTGCCGCCGCTGCCGCGACTGCCGCTCGGTCGCCTCAGGCAGGGCAAAACGCTCAATCGCTCAATTGTCTATGTGTGTGTTTGTTTGTGTGTGTGTGTATCTGTGAGCGTGGCAAAAGCGCTTGGAAATGCTGGAACAGAGTTGTGCAATACCCCTTCCAGCCTTCCATTCTGCATTCCAAGCCCCCCATTTGGGTTCGTTATTATTTCTTTTTTTTTTGTTTCGCTCACCCCTTAAGTATCAAGCTTCATTCTATCTATCTTTGTATCTCATTCTGTGCACATTCTGCAGTCCCAAGCTGTCTATTTGAACCTTTTGCTGAGGCTCGCATGACATTTACTGGAAACTGGAAATGACTGGAACTGGAAGTGAATTAATACACTGGAAGTGGAGCGAGGGATGGTCTGGGAAAGCCCAACGACAGCAACATTCTTTATCCTTAGACTGGAAACTTCCAGGCAACAAAGCTTTCAGTCTGGAACTACGATAAATGCAGTGGCAGAGCAAAAGCCCGTCCGTCTGCAGCTGTAAGCTTTCCTTTATCCTACCCTTCCTAGACTGAGAGCTCTCTCACTCTCAGTCTCGTCTTCCGCTTTTCACTTGCCACTCACCTGGATCTGTAGCCGGCTGCAGTTTGAATTTGTTTATCCCTCGCTGCCGCTGTCTCACACTTATTCCAGTGTGATCCTCGGCTCCCTCTCTCACTCACTCTTCCTCTCTCTCTCTTTTCCGCTTTCCGGTCACTCTCTCGCTGTGCTCTCTTTGCCTGTTTCAACTGAAGCTGGATCTATGCCAGTTTCGGACCGACTGTTCGGCTGAACAATTTCGGTTTATGTTTTGTGGCTGCGCCTGTGGCTGGCTATCGGTTCACGCGGCGTATGCGCGATTTGCACCAAAACGACGCTGACCGCCCCGCCGACAGCACCAGCACCAGCAACCGACCTGCTCTCCTTGGCTCTCTCTCTCTCTCTGAGTTGCTTTGCGTTGCGTTGCTCTCTTTTGCTCTCTCTCTTTCTCTCCACTCTCTTTCTGGACTGAAGATTTTCGTTTTGTTTTTGGCGGTGGGCGGTGGGGGTGGACAGGGGGCGGAGCGTTCTTTGTATGCTTTTTGTCTCGCTGCAGCAGGCTTTGCGTTGTAGCTTCTGTCTGTCTGCTGTCTGTTGCTTCTTTCTTTTCTTTATTTTCTTGCCCTTCTTATGTTCTTATCCTTCTTTCTATCCTTGCTCTTTGGGGCTTTCTTTTCTGCTGATTTCTCCTCTAGTTCCTGCTGCTCCTTTGGGCGGCTTCCTTTTCTCCTCCTCAGCTGGTTGTCATTCTCCTTTCCCTTCTCCTTCTTTTGCTCCTCTTCTAAGTGCTCGACTCTTGTTCTGTGTTCCCCGTCTTTGTGTTGTTCTGCTTTGCTTTCCTTTCCTTTCGCTTCGTTTCGCTTTTGTTGTTTCAAACCTTGGACTAAAATTAAAAATACATAGAAGAAAATTTTGTTAATACGAAATCACGCCAAAACGTAAACATCAAGCGAATGAGAAAGACAGATACAAGAGAGACAGGAAGGGAGGGAGGGAGGGAGGGTGAGGCGGGGGACCCAATAGATACACACGAAGAGGCAGTAACACAGGGAATGGGAATGGGTATGGGGCAGGAGTGTGCACTAACTTGGGTTTCCACACACGCTTCACTCTCTTTTCTCCTCCCCCCGCCCCTCACACTCACTCCCTTTCTTATCTGGGCAGATCAGAACCTCCATTTTAGAGGGTTTGTTGATGGCGGGTGGGGGGCGGTGCGGTGTGGTGCGGGTACGGAAACCCATGGTTGAAACTACCAATATCTAATCTGGCCACTGCCCTGACTCGACTGACTGAGTGTTGGGAGAGCATTATCTTATCGGCCGTAAGGTGGGCTTGTGGCTCCACGAGAACTTGGAGCGCGTGACTCACATTGGCCCGATCCGATTCCGAATTTCATTCTGATTCTGATTCCCCCGGCGGATTCGATAAGCAGACATAAAGAGAAAGCTACGGCATAAGAATATTTTGGGGTTATTTGTAGGTATCCATGAGAAAAACCAATCTCAGAGGCACCTAAGCAGAGGGTTATACAAAAAGGGGAAGAGCTTTTTTTAATAAATTCCCCACTGAATTCTCTACAATAATAACAAAACGCAGCATGTATGCATGTACATTCTTTGCTTGGGGCATCCACTGGAGCTCCTCGTTGATCCTAGATCTATATTAAGCGTCTAATAGTCCCCTCCTCACCCGCATGAGACCATCTTTCGGGGGGACGGGGACTTACTCTGCTGCCACCGATTATTGGCAGCTTAAAGACAATTCACTTGAACATTTTCAAGCAAACCATATAGAGACGCAGTCATGGACTCGGGGGCTGTTTATATATAGCCCCGGGCTATATGTCTGTATGTATATGACGAATCAAGAATTCGAGGAATGGAGATCTTCGCTCTCTCTCTCTCACTTGGCAAGCACACAAACAAACAGAACAGAAAACAGAGACAGAGGCAGAGACAGGGACAGGGACAGGGACAGAGGCACAGCAAGCGCGGAGCTGGCCCTCTTCAAAACGCCCACACGCCTTCTGGCAGCAGCAGCGTTCGGCCAGATAAACAAATGATCCATCCATAGCCATGTTCATCCACCACCCATGTACCTTCCTACCTTCTGAGGCCCCTGCCGCACAGCCGCACAGTCACACAGCCACTGCAGCAGCCAGCAACACTTCTGAATCCCCCCCTCTCAAAATACACGACGCACGTAACGATACACAAGTGGAAAATACACAGAACAGAAGAGAACAGAATAGAGCAGAATAATACAGAGGAAAAGCAAAGCGCGAACACGAGAGCGGGAGCACACCGCTCCGATCTTTACCCGATTCGAAAACCGTTTGTCGGGATTTGGGCAGCGTCGCACCGATTCTGATTTCGATCCGATTCGGATTCCGATTCCGATTCCGTGTTCTTTCGCTTTAGCGTGCCGTGCCGCGTTCTTTGCAGAGCAGAGCAGAGCAGCAGTCGCAGTCTAATTGGATACTGAAAACGGAATTCAGACACGCGGCCAACTTGAGTTGCTGAATCGGACCGAACCGGACCCGGCCCCGAGCCCCGAACACGGCGGCCGAGAGCAGCCGTCGCAGCCTGTTGGCCCGTCTCCGAGCGGAGCGTCGGCTGAAGGTGCACCATCACCATCACCACCACCATCGCCATACAACCCCTCACCCTTCCCTTCCCATCCCTTCCCACCACTCCTCCCGGCCACTCCTCCCTCCTTCTCACCTTCTATTGGGGTCGAGCTGATCGTCGAAAAGCGCCATGAGGGGTTGGCAAATTTCCAACCAAAAGTTCTCCTCTGCCTGCTCTGTGTATCTGTGCATCTGTATATCCGTGTATCTGTATATCTGTTCCGATGCCAGTGTCCGCCCAAAAGCCAAAAAGAGAGCAAAAGAGCGGAGCTTCGAACGAAAATTGTTTTTACATTGCACAACGAATCACCAAAAAACGTAAATCGAATTAGATATATACATACGTAAATAGATAGAAAATATAGAAAATCCGTTGTGAAGGAAGGCTTCGGATACCCTGGATTCTGGAGAGTTATGGAATATCGAATTTCTATTGACAAAGATTTTTATATATGTACAAACTCCGTTTCAGGATCTCAATCTCTTTCTTTCAATCGATGCTAATAACAAGAGAATAATAATTGTTATTATATTACGAAGAGCAGATCTTTGTTCCCATCTACCTTTTTGTTTGCAAGTCTCTAGCTCTTTAGCGAGAGTTTTATAATATTTCATTGCCCTGGAGCTGTCATTTCTACAACAATCGCCTAGATATCGCTACATTTGTATGTTCTGTGTACTGAGTTTTCCGCAGTGCTTAGCTTTTGAAAGGAAAATAAATACGATTAAGCGCACAATTTTTGAGCTGGAACAGAGCTCTCAATGGAAAGCCTCTCAATTGAAACATCCTTTATTATATTCCTATAAATTCACCAAAATTCAAGTACGAGAAATCATATGACGATTGCATTTCCTTGATCATAGTTTTCATAGGCAACTAGAACATTATTCCGAGCTACCAAGAGCCGTCAAAGTAAATGGATTATCCCCACTATAATATGAAATATATTTTATTTTATCCATCATATCATAGCGCATTGAAGATCCGTTTAGCTTACTGAAGGACTTTCCTCTTTCCTGGACTCTGTCTATGACCTCCAGGCTAATAATTTTCCAGACACATACAGACATAAGTTTGAGATCTGGCAGATCTCCCATTCCTCGCATCCCTCCTGAGGCCGCTGATCGCTCGCTCAGGCATGTGAGTAGGCAACTGTACTTGGCATCTCTTGGCCACTTGGCAGCGTCTGAAAAGACTTTTCGACTTTAAAAATAGCTGCCCCAGAGAGTGGCAGAGCGGCAAACAGGGACAGACAGACAGACAGACAGAGAGACAGAGAGAGAGAAAGAGAGCCGGAGACACGGAGAGATCGGTTTTGGCTAGGAGTGTGGGTTGGGGCTTTTTAAGGGGGTATGGGGGAGGGCGTTCGGCGGTGCATGGATGGGCGGCGCACACTTTTGGGCATCTGTGCCCCGCGTTTACAAATAGTCACAGTTTAAGCTCTCTCTCGCTCTCTGGCCGGCTGGATGGCGATGCCGATGCAGATGCCTGGCCGCGGATGAGATGGAAAATTGATGGGCCAAAGCGTTTTTCCCCATTTTTCCATTTTGGCTTTTTCCTTTCCACTTCCTCCTTGCCCCCTTACCCCACTTTTGGGGTTCGATGTGTGTGCGATGTTCTTTTTGGAAACTCGAAACTAATGAGGTCGGGGCACGTTTCTGCCTTGCCTCCACCGTGGTGGCACGTAGACGGCATGCGTTGCGTCATGGGGGCGGCCCCTGCCCCACCGTGCTTCCTGGAGATATTTGTAAACACACACACACACAGAGCGTAGGCAATTTGGGATGCATTTTGGTCCCCCCCTAATGGATAATCATATTTCCCCTGATTTTTTTTCGTGCTCCACTTGAGCCTCTGCGGCACCTTTCCCGCACACAGTTGGAAAAGTCTCTGCTCTGGTCTGCTCCGGTCTGGTCTGCAGTCTCCAGTCTTCTTGGTTCTGGGTTTTCTTCTTGATTTGCTGAGATTTTTGGACACTTCTTGGGGCTGTTGGTTCGGCTCTTGGGGAAATTCGTTGCGTTGGTTTTTCTTGGCACTCGATTTCGAATCGGTTTTTCCCTGGCCCTGTCTCTGCTGCGCCTGTGCTACGGATTTGAGTTCAAATTTATTTTTGGCAGCATTGCCGACAACCTCCCTGTTCCCCGCTCCCCGCTCCACACCCACCAATCCCTTTGGGCTAGAACACGGGCACAAAACAGGGCAGAGAGACAGAGACAAAGTCACAGAGTCACAGAGAGAGAGAGAGAGATTGAGATTGAGAGGAGAGAGTTGGAGAAGCGAGGCCTCAGGAGTTTTGAGGGGGGGGGGGGAGTCGGGATCAGACCGAGAGAGCGAGCAACGATCGGGCACTGCTTTGCTATAGCTGTAGCTGTGTTTGTGCTACTTTATCTAGACTATAAGTGTGCGTGTGTGTGTGTGTGTGTGTCTATGTTTGATATAGGCTTGCCCTGTCTCCTGCTCCTACTCCTCCTCCTCCTCCCTAGCCTTCTCGTCATTTGTTTGTGTAATCCATTTAAAGGTAATTGAACTTCCATTCTTCTTGAGGCACCTTGAGGCACGTCGGGTCGGGTCGGGGCTCGAGCTCCGAGTAGAGCCTCAGAGATATTTTTAGATCCATCCATAAATAGGCTCAGAGAGACAGAGAGAGAGAGACTTCTAGCTTGGATTTGTGTGCACTACGGCATGGGGTGGGTTTCTGAGCAGTTCCATAGGATGCAGAGTAGGGGATCCCTGAGCTAACCTGCCCGTCCAAGACAGGCACACAAACATTTAGACATACGGAAATCAACCACCCCCACCCCCAGCCCACGCTCCACTCACTGGCTACGTGGAGGGGCAGGCAGGCAGCAGCAGCAGCAGCCTCGTCAGCGTTCCGACACCGAGGCCAAATCGAACTTGGGATCAGCGTTCAGAGACGATATAACGAATTTCGTTTTTCGTGGCGGATATTTTTAGGCTGAAAGCATCATAAAAGTTTGCCCCCCCTCCAACACCCACCACCACCACCACCCCGACAGAGCACTCGTAACCGCCAGTCGGCGCTTTCCAAATTTTCAGTTTATCTAGAACACAAATTCCTGGAAATGATCAGAGAACTTGACGGGGCCCTCTCACTTTTCTCGCCCCAAAAAGGGAATGGCATGGCATGGAATGGTAGGGAATGGTAGTAAAGGACACTCCAATGCACTTCACGCATGAACAATGCATGGGATGGGTGCGTGGGTGCATGGTGGGTGTCACGGGGAACTTGATAAAAATGCAGCTAGGGCACTTAATTGGAATGTCCTAAAAACAAAAACAAAACATAGAAAAAAACAATAAAAATGCGTGGCTTGGGCAGGACGCATATGGGAAGGCGGCGGCCTGACTTGCAATCAATCGATAACAATTAATTTTCAAGAAAAATCGAGGACAAGCGCACAGGAAATGGGACTAAAAGCGGACAACGAAGGAGAAAAAGTGTAAGTAGAAGAGGAGGCTCAAAGGTCAAGGCAAGGAAACAGTAGGGGAGGGGGAAAAAACGGACTTTCAGTAGGAAACTGAAGATTAAATAAAAGCTAATTAAACAGGAAAATACTTCAGCAGGAGATGAGGATAATTTCCCCAGGGAGTACTCTCACAATGGGTGCCTAAAGGAGGGGGTTGAGACTTCCCACCAGGGTATATGTATGTGGAAGTTGGAAGAGCCCACACCTCGTCATGGACTTACCTTGGGCAGAAGGAGAAGGAGAAGGACACTTATGCAGAAGGTTAGTCCCAAAGAGATTGCTCTCCAGATGGTGATGGGTGCCTATATTGTCTGGGTATATTCGACATAAAGGTATGGCTGAGCCAAAGCCTAATTTGCCTTCACACCTTGTCATACAAATCCCCTTGGGGTGGGAGGGGGAAGGGGAAAAGGACACTGGGAAAGACAAATCAACGGAAAAGAGAGGAGCACACGCACACCACAAAACAAAAAGTCGCGCTCCAACGCCAACACACACACACATACACACTCGACTTCGACCCCAAGCCGAACCGAAGCAAAGCCTCGTTTCGCTCTAGTTCGGACGGCCGGGCTTTCGGGCCTACCTACCTACCTACCTACTACCTAACTGTAAGCACGAATCAGGCGACAGAGCGAGACGGATGTGGAGCTTTGGACTAAAGGGACAAAGCTTGCGACCGTTACTGCCCATGGATATGTGTGTTTGTGTGTGTGTGTGTCCTGGCGGTGGGCCAAAAGCGTGTGTTGATGTCATAAATCCCACCAAAATACAACAGAGAAAAAGAAGAAATGTGGCAGGGACATAGACAGGGGCAGGGGCAAGGATAATGCGACGCAGAGCAGGCCCAGAGTCCGAACAGCTGTGCGAAAGCCATCCATAGCCATCCCGACAAAACACGTTTCAAGATGCTGTGTGATGTGCCCCTTGCCCCTGCCCCTTACCCCCTGGGCACAAAAAGGGGGTTGAAACTGCAGCAGGACGAACAATAAGGACAAGAACGAAATCCGGCTCAAGGGAAGCTGCGCACCAAAAAAAAAAAAAAGAAACAACAACTGCGAGCCGGAGTCGGAGACAGAAACAGAGCCGAGAGCTGGAGTTTCGTTGCTGATTCTGATTCTGGTTCTGGCAGGGGTCGAGCTGTGGCCGCGTTCTGGGGGTGGAAAAATGGGAAATTCATTGAAACACACACACACACACACGGTGACAAAAATCCGAGCCTCTCTCCAGTTGGGATTCCAATAATTTTCGATAGTCTTGAAACCCCCGCTTAGGACGAAGGCTCCCTACCCACTCGTCACAAGCATCCATTCTACAATAGAAGGACTTTTCATCATAGGTCATTCCACCCACCGGCATTTCCACAGATTCTGAGCTGGACTTACCACACACAAACACACACACGCCCACACAGACTGTGGCGGCACCCAAAAGGCCGACCCTGAAACTCACCAAACAATTACATATCCGTAGAATACAGGCAAAGGACATGCCTCCTTCAGCCCGCTTCCTGGCACGCGGATTCTATTGACACTTTTGCTTTTCTCGACGAAACTGTGCACAAACAAAAAAATTACACAAAAAATAGTCAGAGGTAAACACCGTTGCGATAAAAAAGAGGCCTCTCGTGGCTCTCGGGGCTCGTGGAAAGGCAACAGCGCCAGCAAAAGAATAACAACACGAACTGCCACAAATCCAAACGCACGAGCGCGGAAAGACAGGAATGAGAGTGACAATTGCACCCATCTGGTAGCACAGCCGCACGCACACTAGTGTTGCATAACACGACGAGTATCCATGACCAATGCTGCCACTGTGTTCGGCGATGGTTCGATAGGCAATATAGTGCAGTTTATAAACAAACATTAAACCAATACCAAGACGCTCTGAGTGGAAGAAAACTATATAATCTTAACGCCTGGGCCACTCTGAATATCCAGCCCCGGAGAACATTGCAATCGAAATCGGTATCGCCGCCCACTCCCACGCACCCCGCGCACACACCACACTCCTGTTTCCCGCAGCAACTCCACACAGGGCAACAAAATGCTGAAGATTGCTGCCGAGGGAATAGCGCCACGTCTGGCTGCCTGCTGCCTCATCAATGCCAGCGCTCAGAGCAGCTGCCATCGGGGGGCCCCACAGTCGGCAAGGGCCACACAGAAGTACCTATCCCAGTCGCAGCACCTGCACAAGAAGCTGGTCATCAAGGATCACTACGAGTTTGATCAGAAGGTGAGCGAGTGAGTGAGTGAGTGTATGCGCAATTATGCAATGATTCTGGCATGCGGCCTGCGGCGCCCCTGCACTACTATCTGGTGTACGTGAGCAGTTCCGGCCGTAAACAGCGGGCCAACTACAGCCACCCCATGACGCATTTGGCTATGACGACTGTCTGTATGTGTCTATCTGTGTGTGTTTGTTTTTGTGTGTGCTGTGATTGGCTCGTGTATGCAAATAAGCCCCAAAACGGCGGGCCGTTACCGGTTTTAACCCGTTTTTATGTTTCGAAATGTCCAAAGATATAGTAGATATGTGTCCTGAACTAAAATCTTATTCTCTGTGGTCTGTGTCCAGGTCATCAACAGCGACAATCCGGTAATTGTGAATTTCCATGCCGAGTGGTGCGACCCCTGCAAAATACTCACACCCAAGATGCTGGAGCTGCTGGAGAACTCCGACGAGATCGATGTGGCCATCATTGATGTGGAGACGAACCTGGATCTCGTCGAGACGTTCGAGGTGAAGGCCGTGCCCGCCGTCCTTGCCTTTCGAAACGGCGTTGTGGTGGATAAATTCATTGGCCTGGTGGATGCCAACAGCATTGAGACGCTGATCGACAAACTGAAGCGGAAGCAACAGCAGAAGCAATAGAGGAGAATTACCAGAATTAAGGTGGACGGATGGGGGGCCTCGGATAAAATAATATACATAGCTTTGCCGCAAATCGAGATTTTATATACAAAAAAAAAAGAACGAAACGGAGTAGACTGTAAACGCGATAGTTAGCCTAACCCTTATGCAGCAACAGGAATACGTTTAATATGCAATAAAAAAAAACAGAAACTAATATACATACATATAATCATAGTAACAGTAAACCTCTGCTTTATATTTCTACTTGTTGCTGCCGTTTCCCGTGGGAATTGCGCCGCCAAAAACTGCAGCGGGTCAGCTGATTGTATCAGTGTTGGTAAGCGTTTCAATCAGTCGCTGAGAGGATGACGTGAATTTGCAATGGTGAAGGGGGGCGAGTGAGAACTCTTCCTGGTTAGACAGAGATAGGCGATGAAATGGGTTTATTTGGTTGCTTTATTAAGGCTTTTTCTTTCTTTATACGAATACATAGTCACGGAACTGAACTGGCCTGCCCCAAAACTGATTAAACCACCTCCTCCGGAGAACTTGAACTAAAAACTAATAACTGACATCTGGCGCATTCCCGTGCGATGCGACGCGGATTCGTTTTTTTTTTTCGGATAGTATATAAATACGAATAAAAAGTACGAGTATACGGAAACATACGATACGGATACGATACACAATATACAATAGGGGGTGTAAAATAATAACTCAACGTGTATAAAATAGAAACAGAACAGATCTCTACAAACTAGGCTAGAATCGGTTAAAGCGAAGCGGTCAAGCGGTACGCGGTAGCGGGTAGCGAATTATCGGATGACCTGAATGGCATCCATCCAATTACGAAACACTCTTCATCTTCTGTTCCTTTTTAGTTTAAATCTTAGTTATGGTCATGCCACCGGCAGAGAGAGAGAGGGAAGTGGGAGGGGGACTCTTCCCCGCGGCGGAGATGCCATTTACTGTTGTCATTTGGGGGTAGACTGTAATTGTGGCTGCTCAACGCGCCAGCTGAATGATGAGCGCTGCGCACATCTCGAAGAACTCCATGGTATGGTGGCCGGTCGGCTGGAGCGGCATCATTCCGGTCACGCTAAGCGGCGGCGGTGTGAGGCTCTCCATGATGACATCGTCGCCCTGCTCTACCTCCTCGTTGGTGAGCGACTTGAAGTCAAGCAGATAGCTCTTGGCGTCCACTTGGTACAGCTGCAGCGACATCTTCGAGAACTTGCCCGTCTTCACGTTCTGCCGCCGCACACGCACATGGTACGGATTGATGATCTTCCACTCGTAGTTGAGCGCCTTCATGGCCCGATAGACCTCCAGCATGATGTCGTTGGGCTTGCTCTGCGAACGTATGCCCAGATGCCACTTGGCCCGCTTGATGGGCGTGCCGCCGCGCGCTGTCTTCTCGGGGAAGGCACCACCGCCCGAATTCTGCACGGACATTGCCAGCTGGCGGTCGCGCATCGGTGCGATCCGCTCCGGATGCGGTCGTATGGCGGCTAGGACGCTGCTGCTGGGTGGCGCGGCTCCAGGTGGCACAGGCGTAGCGCTGCCCGAGCTGGCGGCCGTGCCACCGCCCACAGTGACCGTGGCTAGGGGCGCTTGGCCGGAGGCCTGACCCGGGGCCTCGTGCGGTGCATGGGTGTTGATGGGCGGCGGCGGCGGGGAGCCAGCCACAAAGAAGTTGTTGATTTCGTTAATTTGGTTGGCGGCGTCGTCTGCGAAACGCTTGTTGTCGATGATCAGGTGGTAGGCGATGGCCAGCTGATCGTGTGGATCGCCGCTGAGCAGCGAGTTGTGCACCTCGAGCTCCTTGACCCCGAACTTGGTGCAGACCTCGGCCACGGCATAGGTGTCGATGACATTGGAGTCCTGCTCGATCGATGAGGGGAAGAGGTAGGCGGGCAGCTCCTTCTGGAACCACTCGTGCTTCTTGATCTCCTCGATGTTGGCCCGCTTGAGGGGATCCACCTGCAGCATCTGGCACACCAGATTGACCACCTGCTTGTTGAGGTACTCCGGTATGGGGAAGATGCCCGATTTGATCTTTCGGAAGAGCGTCGGCACGTGCTCATCGTCAAAGGGCAGCGTGCCGCAGAGCAGGGCATACAGGATGACGCCACACGACCAGATGTCCACCTCCGGCCCGGCATACAGTTTGCCAGAGATGACCTCGGGCGCCGCATAGTTGGGAGAGCCGCACGAGGTGCGCAGAAACTCTCCGTCCAGCATCATATTGGACAGCCCAAAATCGGCGATCTTCACGTGCATGTTGTGGTCGAGCAGCAGGTTCTCCGGCTTGAGGTCGCGGTGCACGATCATGTGCCGGTGACAGTAATCCACGCCCGAGATTATCTGCTGGAAGAAGCGGCGTGCCTGATGCTCCTGCAGCTTGCCGTGCTTCACGATGTAGTCGAACAGCTCGCCGCCGCTCACGTACTCCATGATCATGAAGATGTCCGAGGGGGTGGAGATCACCTAAGTGGACAATGGGGGGGAAATATAAGACATACATATGCTGACTTCTTCAAGACAAAGGGATTCAGGACTGGACTCTGGATTCCTTACCTGGTAAAGCTTAATGATGTGCGGATGCCGGAAGAGCTTCAGATTCTGAATCTCTCGCCGAATCTTACCCACCACATCCAGGCTCTTGATCTTCTGCCTGTTTAGGATCTTGACGGCGACCTTGACGCGTGTTATCTGATGCTCGCCGATCTTCACCTTACCGAAGGTGCCCGTGCCGAGCGTGGCGCCCAGCAGATAGTGGCCGATCTTCACCAGCGGCTGGCCATTGACGGTGCCCGCCGCCGCTGCCTCAGCGGCCGCAGCCCTCATCTGGGGCATCTCGCTGTCCCGTCACTGCGGCGGGGCGGCCACTCGAATTGAGTTACCTAGCCCAGACTAGACCAGACACCAGACAGAGACACCAGACGCACTATGCTGACGCTGCAGAGGCAGCAGCAAGTGGCAAGCACTGCGCGAGAGAGAGGGTAGAATGGGGAGCAGCGACGAGCGGTGGAAGGTCGTTATCTCGTTTATTGCGTAGTCCGCTATCCCCTCTGTGTGGCGCTGTCGCTGTCTCGCGGTGATTGTTTATTCTATATTTTCCGCTGACTCTCGGGTTCCATCCACTTCACTTCACTTTGGCGAAATCGGATGCCGTGGGGCAGACAATCGTCTGTTGCCAATTGTTTATTTACGCGACAGTTTAACTATTGTTTATTTTGCTTGCCGTTTTTTTGGTGGGGCTTTTCCTTTTCCTCTCGTTTCGCTTATTTAATTGACATTGGAATACTCGATTTCCCACGGTGTGTTTTCCAACACAGTGGTCATGTTCCAGCAGCTGTTTTCGAATCGCTCCTTCTCGCTCTAGCCTGGAAGGCGGAAACGAGAGGTCGATAAGTCATTTGATGAACTGTAATCGATAGCTATCGCCCCTAACATTCGACATATTGCCTTTCAAAAGTTTTGGCGCCAAAACAAATGAACTTTTGTCGTGTGTGTGAAAAATGCTACTATATGGGGCCAGAGCTCATCATCTTTTCATCCACGCACAAGGCTAAGCGTCTCGAATTACAGCTTCGTTCGTCCGGCAGTAGGCGCTCACTAAAGGAGGAAAAGAATCAAGAAGGTAAATAAATTTCTTTCAAAAACTCTGTATATTTGACACAGTCCGTGGCGGGAAATATCGACAGGTTGGAATCAGCAGTAATTGTCTATTTATCTTACTAATACTAATACATCAATTTAGACATTCATTTAGAAATTTGGTCATGGAATCCACTATTCACTTCGGGCCCTTTTCACAAGGACTCACCGTTGGATTGGCAGGACCTCTGGTCACAGACATCAGGCAGGACTACGTTTCATGACTGGTTTCAAAGACTGGGTTTATAACGTAGTAGGTGTCCGTATGAACGGTGAACATCCGTAGTTACGCGAGGGATTATAATCTCCAAGGTCATCCTCCGAGTCACTGGGGTGTTTTGTTGTTGTACAGGTGCTGGAATAACAAAAAAAAAAAAAACCAGCCTCGTTGCCTATTCCCTGTCATAATCAATATATGTAACTATCATCCATCTCCCTCAAGCCTATTCATCTTACATTACGACCTTGCTTGGGATTTCCTTTGGATAATTCTTCTGTTACTTATTCAATTGATGTGTTCAGTTACAATGCATGTAGTATATCATATATTGGATTCTTCCGTTACACTTATAAAATGGTTCTCTTACAAATAAATCTCTAATTTGGTTTATTCTGCTTCTCGGATAAATCGTTGTCATTAATCTACACTTAAGGGCATTTTTTTTTTTGTTTTCTTCCGATCGATCTCCTACGACGGCGCTGAGCTACTCCGTCCCTCGATTGCTTACGGACTACAATAAATGTGTATATATGATACAAATTTAACTATTCGACAAACAGCAGCCTTCTTCTCCAGACGCTTTGTTATTATCTTAACACTTGTTTATGCTACACAAATAGTTGTTTTGTTTTCTTAGTTTTCTCTTACAAAATAAGCTCGTCTCGTTCTGTTTGTGGTAGGTCCAGGTTGGGTTCGGGTCCCCTCGGGACGACTGTACCTTCGACTCGTTGTCGTTGTCCGTCTCTCTCTCTCTCTCTCTTCTGTATCGCGTGCTTTGCACTATGCTCGTTAACATGACGCGCGTCTCATCTCTCTCACTCTTTTTCAGAGCTAACAATTATGTAATAGTGTGTGTGTTTGATTGCTGGTTTTATAACGTATAACGGTTAATATAATATATATATATATATATATATATATGTATCGGTATTTGTTTATTTTATATTTATCGTTAATTACATGTATTTTTCGGTTTGTTTCTTTCAGTTTTTTCTTCTTTTCATCTTCTCTAAATGTAGTCTGAAAAAAAAACACGTACCTTACCTATGATAATGCTACAAGACTAGGGCTTTATTTTTATTATAGGTTTATATTTAGTCAAAAAAAATATAGTTAAAGAGTTATAATATTGATATTTCTACTCTATCAAAGGCGTTTTCCAGCAGCATGGTGTTTTTTGTTGTTGTTGTTGACAAAATGGCAAAAAATAATATGTTGAATATCAGATTTCAGTATTGAGTGTTTTATACATACAATATGTATATATTCTACATATATATTCATTATATATGGTGTGTTTTTGTTCTGTGTGTGTGTGTGTGTGTGTATAAAAATTGAGGTGTAAGGGTTCCTTGTTCCTCTTGTTATTTAACAATTGAATCAAACATTCTGAAGAGTATAATCTGGGAGATATATGGTATACATATGTATGGAAGTGTTGTGTGTGTGTTTTGTATTCATCTGATACAAATATTAAATGGAATTTGAATTGGTTATCGATCCTGTGTTGATTTCAGATCATTAAAAACGTATAACGTGAATAACTCTCCTGCCTCTGTATGTCTGTGTGTGTGGGTGCATCTGTGTGGCGTGGAATCTTTATGGTTTTTGTTCTCTCTGATTTATTTTTCTTTGTTTTTGTTTTCTTTTATGTGTTTGGGTTTTGTTTTGTTTTGTCTGCATCTCATTTTTTTGTTTTTGTTTTTGTTTTTGCTGCCAATGCCAATGCCTTTCTGCGCCTCTCCTCTTCCTTCCGCCCTCCGATCTTCAACCGATCAATCAGTGTTTGTTGGATATATACATTTGTGTGTGTGTTTGTGTGTGTGTGGTATATCTGTGTGTACGAATACATACATCTAGCTAGAGAGAGACGCACAGAGTCATATCGAGAGAGGGAGGGGTTTGGTTATTTCCGGATTATTACAGGTGTGGGGCGGGGGGTATGATTTAGATTCAGTATCGGTTTCGATTACGGATGTAGTGGTTAAAGCTGCCACCGCCTGCGTGCCTGTTGCCTCCTCCAACTGCTCCGCCTCTGCCCCTGCCTCTACCTCTACCTCTGCCTCCACCTCCACCAGTGCCGCGCATCATCTCATCAACATCAGCAGCAGCTGCATCCTGATCGTTGTTGCCTCCACCTCCACCTTCACCTCCGCCAGCAGCAGTTGTTGTTCCCGGCCCCCAACTGGTCGCCATTCTATTCTGTTGTGTCTGAGCTGTTCCTGGAGTAGGAGTTGCAGCTGGTGTTGTTGTTGTTGTTGTTGCTGTTGCTGTTGCTCCTTCTGTTTGATCTCGGTCTCCCCTGTATGTGACATACACGAGCCCCACGGCTTGCAATCTGCCAGTTTGAGGATCCAAGTAGTTGAGGGTATTCACGTAGTTCGAATCGGAACACTGGTAATATACATATGCGGTATCTGCTCCGGTTACGGCTCCTTCTGGTGTGCCTGTTCCAACTCTTCCCGATATTGTTGCTCCTCCTCCTCCTCCTGCTGCTGATCCTTCTGCTGATGTCGTTGCATACGTATACGTTGTGGGAGCTGCCACTGCTACAGGCTCTGTTTGTGTTGTTGCAGATCCATCATCGACCTGATGATAATAATAATATGTTGTGCCGCGTGATTCCCTAGATGTTGCTGTATATGTTGGTGTTCGTCTTGCTCCTGGTGCTGCTGCTGCTGCTACTGCAGAAGCTGTTCCTGTTGCCTGTAGATATGTGGTGGCTGGTGGAGAGGCAACAACATATTCTACTGTAGCTGGATATACAGCTGCTGCTGCTGCTGCTGTGGCTGCTCCTATTCCTGGTGATGGTGTGGCTACAGCTGGATATGCGACTGTTGCTGGTCCTGCTGCTTGATAGGCAGGCACAAAGTAAGCAGGAGCAAAGTAGGTCGTCTGGCTGGGTATCTGGATGTGGATCTGTTGCTGTTGCTGCTGTTGGCTGTAGCTATTCATATTGTTGCTGAACGGATGGGAATGCTGTTGCTGTTGCTGCTGGTTGGGGGTTTGTTGACTGGCAAAGATGGTGGACAGGTGTGCTGTTGTTGGCTGATGTGTGGCCAGCAGATGTTGATGTTGTTGTTGCTGTTGCTGCTGCTGTTGGTGTTGTTGCTGTGGCTGATATGATGGCTGATGAGACTGTGTTGGCTCTGGCTGTGGATGTGGACGCGACTGCTGTTGCTGTTGCGTTTGCGGTTGAGGATTCAGATTCAGATTCGGATGTGGACGTGGATGCGGCGGATGCTGCTGCCATTGCACGGCTGCCGGCTGGAGTGGCTGCAATGTGGCAATGGCAGCATGACCACTTCACCTGTGAGATGCAGCTAATATTGGTGTAAAGAAATTAATTTTTTGTGTGTGTTTAAATAAATTTCTGTGCATGATTGTTATATGGATGCAGTTTTTGAGATCGTGTTGTTCTATTTGATCTACCTCTATGCGCCATATGCTGGTAGCCGCCACCGCCACCACCGACACCGATACCACCCGCTCCACCACCGCCCCCACCACCACCTCCACCTCCAGCATGCATCTGCACACCCACTCCCATTCCGACGCCCACCCCCATGCCCCCCATCCCCATGCTGACGCCCACTCCGCCGTGGACTCCTCCGTGCAGCTGCATATGGTGCGCCGCCGGATGGTGGGCCATGTTATGGTGGTGGTTGTGGTGACCATGGCTGTGGCTGTGGTTGTGGTTATGCGGCTGGTGGGGATGGTGTTGTTGCTGATGGTGCTGGTGGTGATGCGGTGGATGATGGTGTTGCTGCAGCTGTTGCTGGTGCGGCTGTTGCATGTGTGGATGGTGCTGGTTGTTGTGGTTGTTGTTGTGGTTGTTGTTGTGATGGTGGTGGTGCGGCTGATGTCCAATATGCAGTGGGCCAACCATTCCCCCACCGCCACCGCCGCCACCACCACCACCCATCGGCCCGCCAATCTGCGACATGAACTGTGCGGCCTTTGCCTTGCCATGCTCCTCGGCCAGGCGCACCCAAATTGGCTGGGTGTAACCCAGTGGCACCGTATTGTTCAGCGAGTTCAGTGCATCCTGTGCCTCTTCGCGCTTGCTGAAGCTGTACACCGAGCAAGGAAAGAAAACGAGAGAGAGAACGTTAGGAATAAGGGGGGGGGGGGGGGGGGGGGGGGGGGGGGGGGGGGGGGGGGGGGGGGGGGGGGGGGGGGGGGGGGGGGGGGGGGGGAGGGGTGATGGTAACTAATAAATAAAAATAAAAACTATAGCTGGTACTGCGCATTAGCGGTGCAGTTTGATTAGGAGTCGCTGTAAAGCAGAATTAATGCCACACATATTTCAATGCCAAATAGGAAATTGGAATACGGTCTGTGGCATCCACGATTATGCTCGATGCGAGTCCTTTCCCTACTCCGTGAGTTACAGCAAACTTTTGCAGTCCAATGGATTGATCTTGCCTGGCCCCTGAACCGCCCTAGACATCTCACTATATATGCTCCGAGTCGCTCTTCGTTTTCCCAAGCATGGCCTACTGCATATTGCATCCATTTACATCCCAGCTGCTCTTGTACTGAAGAATTCTTACGATTGGAAGCCATTCAATTGCATTCCAATGTTCTGATGGATCATTCATTGAATGGACATGTTTTTCTGACCTTTTGATTTCCATTCACGCCACTATCAATCCCAAATTAATATTGCCCATAGTTATCTGAGTATCTTTTGTTATTTTCCTCATAATACGGGTACACCTGTTCCTTTCCCGATCTCTTTTGGCTATTTGCCGAATACTAAACAAGATCTCCAATTATAAATATCCTAGGTCTCTATATATGGAGCAACAAAAGTGCATTCAAATATCTCAATATTTCAGCACAAAATTTAAATAAAAATCTGTTTTGTCAGGTTCTTCTCAGGCAAAAGCAAAGCAAATGTTAGATTGGAATTCAATAGGAAACTGACCGACTGGACACTGCACTCCACACATCACTCCCTCACTTGCAATCTGGCAAATATATGGTAGTACTTTTTAGGGAAACTTACCGTACAAAGGCAACGCCGCGCGGACGTCCGGTGAGCTTGTCACGCAAAATGTTACGCTGGACAATTTGGCCAAAGGGCGAGAAGGTTCTGTTGAGCATATCATCGTCGATATTGCGTGGTAGATTGATGACGTACAGGTTGGTGTCCTTGATTGACTGGCCGCCAGGACGAGCATACGAGACCTAAGAAAACATAGAGCGAGAGAGAGAGACAGAAATGAGTATGCGTATGCGCAGTCGGTGGGTGGTTTGGGTTGGTTTTGGGGTGTTTGGAGTTTGGGGGATACTCACCTTCAATCGCTTGTTGCGCACATATAACCCGTTCAGCTTATCGATAGCCACCTCGGTGTCTGCCTCAGTTCTGTAGTCGACGAAGCCGTAGCCGAAGCTATATCCGGTCTGAGGGTGGGGGATGAAATGGCAAACAGAGAAAGGATGCACGGGTTAGAGTTGCAGCAAAGAGATTTGTGTATGTATTGCACGGTGCGACAAGGATAACAGCAAGCGGGAGGAGGGAGGAGAGAGGGGAAGCCTCTCTTGACGACAACGACCTGTGACGTGCATCCTGCCTATCCTGTTGCCCATCCCTGTTAACTGGCTGTGGCTTACCTTGAAGTCGCGCATAATTTTGCAGGTGTTGATGCCCCCGAAGTTGGCAAAGAGCTCGTACAGCTCTCGGTCGGTCATGTCCTGTGGTAAGTAATTGACTATCAGATTGGTCGAGCTCACGCGCTCCTCCTGCTCCTGCGGCGGTGTGGCGGCGTTATTGCCACCCTGTTGCTGCTGCTTTTTATCGGCAGGGCCTGCTGCCTCCCCGTTGCCATGGTTATTCTGCTCGTCCCCGGACGATTCCTGGGGCTGCTGCTTATCCGGCTGCTCATGCTCGTCCCCGCCCTGCTGGGTCTCATTGCCAGGGCTGCTGTCATCGTTGAAGTTCTCATCCTGGCGGCCCTCCTGCTGTGCCTCACGCTCCACAGCATCGGCTGGCTCCTGCAAAATCCAGATATGGCGGGTAATCAGCGTTAGATTTTGAGTGGAAAAATCGGGCTGGTGGGTGTTGCAGGTCTTGGAGGAGGACTTGGACTTACCTCCATGTCCGAAGACAACTCCTCGTTCTCGTTATCATTCTCATTCGCGTACTGACGTGTCTGATCCTGCATCTTCTTCGACTGCGACATGGCTGGCAATGTTCCTGATCCTCTCTATGCGTGGCCTCCAAAAAAAAAAAACGTCGCTTGCTTTTCGCTACTATTCTCCTCTCCACAACCTTGTCAAAGTGCCACAGAAAATATTTGTGTTGTATCTACGTCGCAGTGCGCGCCAGAAGCTGCAATGGAAGAGAAGCACAAAAAAAGATGTGTATTCGGTTTTCTGCAGCCTAATTCAATTAAGAGAGATGATGCGCGATGTCGTCGTTGCACGCGTCCGCGTCCACTTCTGTCTCCGGCAAGGATTCAATTTCAATTGCAGTGACCTGGCCCTGGCCTACCGAATTGCAACTCGTTCGTGTTGCAACCCAAAATGTGTGTGTATATGCTGGAGCCTTCGGCTTCGGAATGCCGCTCGGATGCCGGGATAGCAGCGGTTCAAGCCTGACGATGCGCATCCAGGGACACAAGCCATTGGCAGCCGAACGCACGTCGGCAGGCCGCCGTTTTTGGTGTTCGGTGAGAGCCCGCCTTTCCGGGAGGCGCTACTGCTGCTGGACTCGGGCCGGGCCGGAGCCAGACGCGGCCAGAACCCAGCAAAACAGCTTGAGAAAAATCTACCCCCACCCCTATAAAAAAAACCCATTCCATGCACACTCATACACACACACACACACACACACAAATGCGAGCAATACGCGGGGCAGCAACAAGAAAAGTGCAAAGAAAAAATGCTGTACGGAGAAGTGATGAATACCCAAGAAGCCAAACACGGGGCGTGGGCCATTCGCGAAAATAAAGTTCGAAAACCATTCGTAACTCACCTACTTTTCACCAAATGCTGTCACACGACGCTACACCACAAAAACAGCGACTTTATATTTTTTTTTTCTCAGAAACAACGCTTTAGCGGTGAAACATCGATGCTAGCCGCTACTATCGATGGTTTTGCGACTAACATGATAGTATCGAGCTACAGTTGTTGTGCTCTTAATATGTTTGGATTGGCTGCTCTAAAATACGAAGACAAATTTTTTAAACAAATCGACAGGTGGCATCTAATTTTTACAATGGACAAGTTCCTAAAAGGTTTCAATGGTTTTTTAATAATTAATTCAGCCCGATACTATTACGATAGTATCGACTGTTTTTTTCCAAACATTCAAAACTATCGGTGGCTCAACTATCAATCGTTTGACAGCTCTAGTTTCCGAAGGACAGACAGACCCACAAAAATATACCCAAATATACCATGCCATTATCAAAATATACCGTAAATATACTGACGGACACGACAAGACGTTGATATTCCTCAATTTTGATATTCCGTTTAATATTACTAGCTAGTTGGCCCTCTCAGCCCTAAACAAATAATTTTATCCAATTCCTCAATAAATTTTGTTCAGGATTGGCTAGTTTTCAGAACTCTTTTTCATTGGATTGTTTACATAATAATGTTCAAACAAAAACGGCCAAAGCATAAAACGTAAATGTTCACGAAATGTGGCGTCATTGTTTCTGGTCAACCAAGTTTCTTCTATGCGTATGAACTTTTGTATACCATATTTCCTTTAATTGATGTTAAATGTGTTGTTCCAAGCTGCTTTGAAACATTAATATTGCATTTTTCTTGGATTGAGATGTTTTTTTTACAATTGTTAATATCGTCATTAAATTTCTTATATATAAATCTGGATTAAATAAAAATATTCAAAATAAAGCTGAAACATTTGTATAACTATATGTACATAATACTCAAATGATCTGCAGATGATAGTACAATATGTTGCTGAGCAACAAATAGGAACATAAATACTTCCTGGTTTAGAAGCTTTTGTTACCCCCTTCATAGCACATTTGCGAAGCCAGTCATTGAATTCCGGTCAGAACATAGAACACTTTAGAACACATCTCCCTCCACCAATTTGTACACCCTTTTATAATTAAAATCTGAAAAACTAGACACTAAACCGAAAAAAACTGGAATTCCCACTACCCGCTGTATTCAATTTTCCCGTCCAAATAATGTAGATATGCCAACACAGTGCCTGAGTCTTTTGTAATAGCAGAACAAAATGGCGGAATGAGAGCAACCAGAATTTTGTAGACTGTACATGTGTACATGTACATGTCGACTTCATGGACCGACAAAGAAGCTGAATGACCTTTCGGGCAGCCCTAGCCATAGCTGCTAAGCTAAATTAATAATAGAGGCAATACTTAATCATAAATCCACATATATTACGGTGAACATTTGCATAATTTATTTGATATTAAAAAATTTGGTTGCTTTCCACGTCATCAAGCACAGAATCAGCTATTTTCAGAACGCAACAACCTGCGTCTGCCAATGTGAACGCCTATTCAGCATCA